AAAAACGATGGATGAGACGCAGAGCAAAGACTCGACAGTGAAGGGGGATGAGGAGGCTGCTGTGGCCTCAGAAAAGTAGCTCTGCGCTGCTGCCGTATTCACATCAGCCTCTAGCTCAAATCTGGGCCCCCGTAATACCTGGAGCACTTCTGGAGCTTCCACCGTCCCTAATGATAGACTACATACAGCATCTGTGTAAAGGTTTTGCCTACCGAAGTAATGTCACGACGACTTCACACGATCGACCCCGCCGACGAGCACGGAGACTAGACACAGTAGATGACTGCAGGGCCGTTATCACTGAACGCACGCGTCGTGAAAGCCACGCCGGCCACGACCTCAGATGCGCCACAGCTTCCCTTGTACTGCCCACTGGCAAAATCACCCCCCAGCGTGTCTGCACGGTTGTCGCCCTTGTCAAACCACACCGTGCGCCCGGAGCCAGAAATGCCGATGTTCGCCTGGGTGCACATGACCGTCGAGACTTTGGTGCCCCGGATCGCCCACCCGGTGACGTAGTAGTTGGCCGGACAGGTGTATTTGGTGTACCCGCTCGCCCAGTCGGTGGTGACGTGCCGCTCGTCGAACACAACCTCGGTCGCATGCGGCGTGGCCTCAAGATTGCCCAGGGCGTTGTCCGTGCACAGCCCCCGCGTAGACCCGTGCGAGAGCCCGATCAGGCGCTGGCCGTCTGGGCAGTTGGCCTTGGACGCGCCGTTGTCCCAGTCCCCGAGGTGGGTGCGCGCATAGAGCGACTGGATGAAGTCGCCCTGGTCGAGCGAGAGCATGTTCCACTCCTCCACCAACGGGACCGGGCCTTCCACGCCCGACGCGTTCATCAGCTCAGTCCACGCCGGAGCCCGCCAGTCCGGGGACGCGGTATCGAAGAGCCCCGTGCGGACCCCGTTGACGTCCCAGTTCATCAGCGCCCAGCCGTTGCCCTGGCCGTTGTTGAGGTACCCCACGAGCGGCCAGAACGCGTAGTCCGCATCCGTCTGCACGAGGTAGTCGATGAAGTTCTGCCAGAACGCAAAGTCCGATTGCAAAGTGTCCGCGCGGCCCTCCATGCCGAACTCGCTGATCCAGACCGGCGCGGTGAAGTGCATGTCCGCCGTCAGCGCGACGTACGAGGCGGAAGAGTTGAGCACCGCGAAGAGATCGCCGCGCGAAAAGTCGCGGTAGCGTGGATCCGTCGTTTCGCCGATCCCTGTGGCACCGCTGTGGTTCGGGCCCGTGTACGAGTAGAAGTGGGCAGAATACACGAGCTGGGAGTGGGGACCGCTCGAGTCAAGCACTGCACAGAAGACACAGATGCAGACACACCTTGTGGGAAACGAGCGTCGTATGCGAGAGTTGGGCAACGGGGATCAGCGTCGGTCGGCTGTGCGGGAGCCCATCGACAGGGAGCCCGACCCAGTTGATACCCTCGACGATGATCAGGATATCGGGATTGGCGAGATGGATCTGGTCTGCAACCAGCTGTGACGCCTGCCACCAGTCGGCGTTGTTGCTTCCACCCCAGTTAGGATCGGTTAAGATGTCGCGCCGGACCTAAAGACATGTAAGGTCTGGTTCGTGCTGCTCCACACCCACCCACCTCATTGTACAGATCGGCCCCTATGACGCGCTTGTTGTCCTTATACCTGTTCACCATCATTACCCAATCCGCGGCCCAGGCATCGAACGACTGGCTCTCGTCCCACCGCTCGTTCCCGTCTACACCGCAGCACCAGATGCTCGTCTTCGTGTGGTTGTTGAGGATCACGGCGATACCGCGCGCAGTGAGCGCGTCGACAACCGCATCGTAAACCTCCAGCGCAGTCATCCCCGAAAACTGTGGATTCGCAGCGACCCAGCTCGGGTCTCCGACGGTCGTGTTGTGGACCATGTCATTCGAGAACTGGAGCCGGATCGTGTTGATGCCGAGCTCCACGAACGAGTCGATGATCTGCGAGATAGGCACGTATTGCAGCCCGAGGGGCATCGTGTGGCTGCGATGGAATGAGCGCGCGACTGAAGCGTAGAGAGGAACAGCGCGCGTACGCATTCTCCCCAGCGTGGTGGTTCGCATCGACGTTCCAGTCCCCGCTACCACTGTACGTCCCACTCCCGCCGTGCCAGTTGCCCCCGCGAAGCTTGAAGCGGTTGCCGGTTGCGTCGACGATGTACCGCCCGCGCGTGCTCAGCGGGCCCGTCCAGGAGATCGTCTGTGCGTGTGCGCCTGCCGCGAGCAGCACGAGCAGAATCGGAAGCATAGGGAAGAGAGTGAGGAGACAGGGCGGGTCGAGTCGCATCGTGAGAGCAGTTTGAGTGCGAGAGCGGAATCTGAGGCGGTCTTTTTGTATCCATGTCCGCATCCATGATGCCGCTTTCCCTACATCTCAACTCGTGGGTGCAGGCAATGTGCTTCCCCACGTCGAGGGATGATTGTCGCTAGGTGGTGCTGAGCCGCGAACCGTCAGAATCAACCACCTTGTTGAGGGCAGTCGAGATCAGCAAGGGGTCATCAGCTCACATCGACATCATACATGTGCGGCAGGTTTTGGATTGGCAGATTCTGTACAGCCACGCACCTGACTTGAGATCATTTGTCACCTGATTCAACTAGGCACGTGAGGACAGTGACATTTTTGGCTTGCCAAAGTGGCTTGTGGCCTCTTGTGCCTGCGTCAAGTGGATTTTTTATGGCTTGTGGTAGGATTTCCTCTGAAATTGATGCCCTCAGGCTCGCAGGCCAAAAACCGGCTTGCCAAGCCAACATTTTGGCTTGTGATCAGCCGAATAAAATTCAATGTGTTTCCATTATTTCCTGAAGTGTCAACAGCGAAATGCGCCAGGAAATGGCAGCCCTGAATTGAAGTTGGCACGATATCTGCTCAAAGAAGTCTTGCTTAGCAAACAGGAGCACAACCGCATTATCGGTCTGCTGTTTGAACTCTTCACAATCTAGCGCATGCGTGTTATCGCGTCGCTATGTCTACGAAACATGCGCCACCATCTTTCAACTCTCACAATTTCAGCGCCTCCCAAGACCTCGCACTCCTCGGCCATGCTGCACATTCCGTCGATTGCCCTCGCTCCGAAATTCCCAACGACCCCCGGATCCGGGACCTCCGAAGCAGGCAGTACTTTTCCGGCCTAGCGAAGCGGTGCATCGAGGGGTAGAGTGCATGAAATCTAACATCGGCGTAGTTTGCGCCCTCTCGATCCTGGCCAGCTTTCATTCCACACGGGACAATCGGTATGCAGGGTCGGAGGCTCGGTACTTTGGGATTACGTTCATCTAGGACGTCTGCTGTTCGCTCTTGAGACCCCGACCGTTGCAAGAGTTCACGCGCCGATGACTCACCTGATGAAGACCCCCCATCCGAGAAGCGGCCAAGGCCGCAGCAGCGCAACAGGACTGCCTCAACGACCAGCAAAACTTTGGTGCAGTCCCAAACAAAGGCTCGAGTGGTAAAGATTGTTAGGTCGGATCTACGTACTACAGCCCATGTCCGGTAGACAAGGGAGGTGCAGCGCGTCGGCCCCGACACATTAATCACATCATGGGTTGTGAAAGAGATCAGGGCAGCGGTCACGATAGCATCGAGTTGGATCAAGTGCGAGAATGAGGAGTGCACCGCGACCGAGGAAATAATCCAGAGGGAAGAGATGACATTACCGATAACGAATGGAATGGACCAACGAAGCGAAGCCCAAGCTAAGCCTGATCAGCTAAATTCAAATGCCGACATGTCGGGCAAGCCAGTTCAACAAGCCGGTACGTGAAGTCTGATGTCCTGCTGCACTCCGGCGGCACTCTGTTCCGTCCAGCCCTGATTTGACCCGTGGGAGTGTGAATCCGACATGTGGGACCTCAACGCGTCCCAGCGGCTCCCACGGAAAGTTCATGTAGCCCGTTTGCATGGGCAGAAATGGAGCAAGACGGTGGATTTAAGTAGGGTAGACAAAACCTAGTGAAGCTCGAGGGACTCAACCACTGGTTCCTATGTTACTCCCATGGACCTAAATTATTTTTCTTGTCTCTGCACTTGCGCTGTCGTGACCGATGAGGCCTGACGGCGCAGTTTAGCACCTTTTTTGTGGGCATGCAATCGGCACAGGTGAAGGTCTTCGTGTCTGACTGACGCAGTTGCTTCGGACGGTGAGAGAGCCTTCGGGGAACATGACTTTGCAAAAGGGGTAAAGTGTGTGGAGAATCAAGCACCGAAAGGTGCCGGACACCGTGACTGGACAGGTGCCAAGTGATAGTTTGAAAGTAATGCGGCAGCAAATTCTCTTCAGCCTTACCCCGGTTCGGAATTCTCACCGAGTGATGAGAAAATCATGTCCTCCCCAGTTTCGCTCTTGACCAAGCAATCTTGAAGAACGGAACCGGAAAACAGCAAAATCGATAGATTATGACAGTGTGTATGATTCAAATCAAAAAACATGCCGAAGGAAGAGTAGCGTGCTCGTCTGTGCAGCAGATTAAGAACGGAAGTCATGCCGAACATTCTTCTGTCGCCGGAGAGACGAATTAAACCTTGTGTACAGCTATCCGAGGTATTTGAGAGTCACTGCACTATGCATTTGAGAAACAGCCTTGATAGTGGGAGCTGGCCGCTTGGCGTCGAGAACTCGAGCGTCGCATACTTCTCTCTCGCGGATTCTTTCTGCTATCTACTACTGCGACCTCCCGATGATTTCGGTTCTCAGCTGGCTTCTTCTCTGACGAAGGCTTAGATTCATCGGGAGTTTCGCCCTCAGACCCCTTCGAATGCCCAAATCCCAAATATATGCATCAAAAGATTGCTCACAAGCTGAAAAATAGTGTTCCACTGCTTACTACGCGGCACATTCACCGGATTCACGGAATATTCAGAATGATCATCTTTCGGGGCGGCCTCGTCATCTCTTCTGACTCGTCGGTCCGACCATATCAATGACACGGGGGGAAGACGGAGAGAGGAGCAGATAAATAGCTCGTGCATCCGTTGTGCTGTCTCAGCCTCACAATGATATCTTCCGTCTTTGTGTCCATTGCGCTTTCCCTTCTCTCTCCGATCTTGTTCTCCGTTTTCAAGGTCCTGTATCGCAACTGGACGTCTTCTCTGCACTTCATCGACGGCCCAACCTGTGCGAATCCCATCCTCGGGCACTCAAAATTGATCTCGGTACATGCTTTTGCTCTCCCCTCCGCCACGTTATCCTTATATCTGGGCACAGGATGTTCCCAGTATCACCAATAAGTGGCGGGAGGAATTCGGTGCCACATTCATGGCCAAAGGATTTTTCAGCGTGAGTCCTTCAACATTTGTCGGCCGATGAATGGCTCAATTGCGATATCACTCCAGGAGAACGAGCTGCACATCATAGACGTCAAAGCAGTGGCTCATATTCTCAGCCGCGGGGGAAGCTATCAGAGAACTTCGACAGTGCTGGCACAATCCACTCAGCTCCTGGGAGTGGGCATCTTGTCCGTCGAGCACGATCCACACAAACGTCAGGCAAGTGTCTTAGACACTGCTGTTTTGACTCTTCTATATTCACCTTGCGCTCTTTGGTGTTTTCGTAGCGACGAGTTCTCGTGAGTCCAGCCCCCTTTTCGTCCTTTTTTCTTATGGGTCTGAAATTATTTAGAATCCCGCGTTTGGTGTTGCGCAGATTAGAATCATGAACGAGATCTTCGTGGAGAAAGGACACATGGTATGTGCGCTGGCGGATATCTCTATTCGAGCTGCACTCACGCATTCGCGCACCAGCTGCGAGACCTGTTGGTAGAGGAGATTAGACAAGGCGGCGGAAAGGCGGTCGTAGATCTTTCCGGCTGGCTCAAACAGGTTTCTCTGGATATCATCGGACAAGCCGGTAAGCAGCACCGGCATATTCCCAATCCCAAAAGTGCTCAAAAACTCTAGGGTTCGGATATCAATTCAATTCCATGCAGTCCCGCGGAAAAGACGAGGCGGAGCTGAGCACCGTCTTTCGCGCGTTATTTCACTCCCCCAACGCCACTGTGTACCAGGCCGTGCAGGTCGCGCAGGCAGTTTTTCCGATACTGAAATACGTCGTGCGTGACCGGCTCCTTAGCCCTGCGCCATTTTGGTTGACTCAGTTGCGAACAGCCGCTCCCAGGCTGGCAGATCATCCGCGCGACTCAGATCAAACTGCGCGCAATCGGCAAGCAGCTTTTGGACAAATCGAAACGTGAATCTGCTGCTGCCACCGGCGAGAAGGACTTTGGGAAGGGCAAGGATCTACTGGCTCTTCTCGTGAAGGCGAACATGTCGAGCGATATCCCGGCCAGTCAGAAACTGAGTGACGAGGAAGTGATATCCCGTAAGTCTGCTAAATCACTCATCTTGTCCGCTCATCATGTCGATCTCGTGCGTGTTCAGAAATTCCGACGTTCTTCTTTGCGGGACATGAAACAACCAGCACCGCGCTGTCCTGGGCGGTGCACGCTCTGTCAAAGCACCCGGACGTTCAGGAGAAGCTCCGTCAAGAGCTGCTCTCGCTCCCGACAGACCAGCCAACTATGGATGAACTCAATTCACTCCCGTTCCTCGAGAAATTCATCAGAGAATCCTTGAGATTGTATGCTCCAGCGGTCTACATCCAAAGAATGGCAAGCCAGGACGATGTATTGCCTCTTGCCAAGCCGTATGTGGATCGTCAAGGCGTGTCGCACAATACTCTCCCGTCAGTCATATTTTACTCATCTCCATCCATGTTGCTGAACATTGCTGAAAAAACAGCATCCGCAAAGGTCAAGTCTTCACTATCCCCATTGCTGCTATCAACACGGAAAAGGAAACGTGGGGAGAAGATGCCCTCGAGTTCAAGTGAGTGTTAATATGGTTTCTACTCCAGCTTTTTTACATGGGATTCACAGACCAGACCGGTGGGATAATCTCCCCGAGGCGGTGAACTCAGTCCCGGGTGTTTGGGCAAACCAACTGACATTCTTTGCTGGCTCGCACCACTGCATTGGCTTCCGCTTCAGTCTCATTGAGTGTGTTCCTTGTTTTTGTTTGAGAGTGGGCCACTAAAACAAAGCATCTGGAACAGACAGAAGGCTATCCTCTTCACACTTCTTCGTGCATTACAGTTCTCTCCTGGAGCAGAGAACATTGGGCCCGTCATGACTAATGTGGTCCAGCGGCCTGAATCCTTTGTACTGAAAAAGGATGGCCTGGTGTCAACTGGGAAATTCCCAATCATGCTCCAAGAGTACACCGGTGAATGAGCATTGGCCTGGTGGACAAGATGGGATAAATCTGAATAGATCAATCACTGTTCTGAAATGCGTATGAACTGCCTGAACAATTTAATCCTGTTTTTGCCATTGTGGTCTTTGTGAGTATATACAGAGTGGGTGTGAATATGAAGGCTGCTGATGGCAGTTTCACACTCTGATGGTAAATCACACCCTGCTGCTGCAAGCGGGAAGTTGCTGCCAAAGATCAACACACCCATGTGATAGTAAGAAGCACACTGCCACCCCCATGCTGATGACAGGTGCTGCTGTACAGGGGATCAAGCACTTCTTTGCACATTTGAACTTGTGTGAGTAAGAACAGCTGCCCTGCTTGTGCCAAAACTTTGGGTAGATAATCCTTACATTTAATTTGCCCCATGCTACAAGTATCATATCTTGCAATGATGTCCTTAGTCTACAATATCTACAGCCACACATTGAAGTCAACAAAAAATATCAGACTCATTGTCAGGGGAACTGTCATAATTCGACTCTTTTTCATCTTATCCTCGACGATCTCATCTTATCTCGACACGGATTATCTTATCACAGATCATGGCATCAGACAGTCCGGGCTAGGGGTTCCAGGGATTATCCTTATCAATTTGAGGCTGTGCGACATATGCTCCGGAAGGTTCTACTACAACCCATGACCAGCGTTCCATGCGGTACATAGCCCTATGACTCATTAGTTGTAGATATGACTCAGACTGGACTCTTGGGTATAAATACTGTAGCTATTTGGTTGTATTCTCCAGTCTTCGAATTCGCTTCTCTTTTCGACATTATTTCTTGTTGATTGTCACATAATTCGAAGACTCCCCTCCTACCCTCCTACCTCATACCTCTTACCACTGCATCCCTCACCGCTACGCCCGCTATATCCTCTTAAACCCTTATCAACCAACTCACCCTTTTACCGAATCATCTAGTTGTTCCCTGCGATCGCAGTGAAGGGTTCATATCGAGCAAACAGCACCAGGCCACGGGTAACGTTGAGCCCGACCCAAGCCTTACGGTAGCTACAAGGAGTGCTGCGGAGACCTTCGGGAAAACGCACCTCGGGATCATCAGGCACGTGAAGAGCTAGGCCCGGGATCTTTTTGCTAGCAAAAGAACCTTTCCTCGAGTGCTTGTACAGCACACAAATTCATCATTTTGTTCCGATTCCCATTGTCGTCTGGGAGTCCGTCCCCTCCCCCCATCGTACCATTGTAGCCTGATCTGGCACACCAAAATCAACCTGGGACCTCTAATCCCTACCTCGCCCTCCCACCGCCTGAAGACGAGATCCTGGACCTCGACGAGTTACCCTCCGAACAACCACCCCCACCTACCACGCCTGCTCCTACCATGTCAGGACATCACCGCATCACCCTCACCGCCAATCCTCCCTACTTCAATGGCGACAAATCCAAGTACCTGGGCTTTGTGGACGCGTGCACCACTTACATCAGTGCCTATCGATCAGAGTTCTTGCTGGATGAAACAAAAATCCTCTTCGTTCTCTCCTACCTCCGTAATGAGGCCGGCACAAGCTGCGCCGCCTCAAGATGGGCAATGAACTGGAAGCAGCACAATTTCGAGGGTTTCCAAGGAATGAAGGCGGGAGTCACCGCGACAACCTTCCTGGAGGAGCTCCAGAGGGCCTTTGGAGACTCTAACGCAGAACAAGTCGCTGCTGCCCGACTCATGGCCCTTCGCCAGGGCAGACGGTCCTTTGCTGACTACATCTCCGACTTCGAAATGCTGGCTGCGGACGCCGGATACAACGTGGTCACCACCACCAATGACCAGGGCGAATACAAGAAGGGGGATCAAGACAATATCCTCATCGAGTTTCTTGAGTGTGGGCTCAGCAGCGAGATTGCGAGCCGCCTCTACAACACCGGTGTTCCCCTGCCCAAGGCATACGGCGCCTTCAAGAACTGGTGTGTCAACATCGAGGCCAATGCCTTGCGCAACCAGCTGCATAAGGCATCCTATGCGCACTCGACTCCGCGGCCTCCCCCCCAATTCTGCCCTCAGGCAGCACCAGCGGCGCCCACACCCGCTCCGGCCCGACCGGCTGCCAACGAACCGGTCCCGATGGAAATTGATCGCACACACGCCCGCGGCTGCAATATCATCTGCTACAACTGTCAGCAGCCTGGGCACATTGCGCGGAACTGCCCGGAACCAAGGAAGAAGCGCACATTCTTCAATCAGGCCACGATGCTTGAAGAGATCGAGAACGGGGACAAGGACAACGAGTTCCTCAAGGAGATTGCCAAGAAGCTGCGTGAGAAGGGTTTTTGAAGCGCTCCACTCCTCTAGCCAAGGAGGTGGAGCGTCCAGACTATGGATGATTTTCTGTACTTGCTTTGATTAAAGACATGAACAATTCTACACATACATACACAATCTCGGACTCACTACGTACAAATATTCACAATTTTCTCATTGCCGATATGGAAAAAGAACGCCAAAGAAAAATAGCTTTAAATAGAAAGTATTTAAAGAGTAAAAAGGATCAGAAAGCTGTGGATAAATTAATTTTAGACTCCTACTTATTTATGGCTCGTGGAGAAGGAACCACGTCAACAAAGACCGAAAAGGGGAGCATCGCTCCAAAGGCTCAATCCTTGAAAAAGGAGGAAGCACCTAAGGAATCTGCCAAAATCAAGGTTCCAGAAGCACACAAACGCACCAGGGTGCCAGATGCTGTCCAGAGGAAATTGGCGGCCGAGAAACAGAAGTGCCCCCAGCCCAGTAGGTTGGCGCAGGAATTGCGCAGTTACCAGGCCGAAAGGAAGAGGCATTCGATGGACGTATATGTCCAGATCACGGGCCTGGACTCAGGAAAGACGCGCGGAGTCAAGGCGCTACTCGACAGTGGCTGCAGTACCTGCTGTATCGATACCGACTACGCGCGGGCGGAGAAGCTGGATATCCAAGAGCTTCCACAACCCATTGTGGCTCGAAACGCTGACAACACCGAGAACATCAGTGGCCGGATCACGCATTACGTTGACTTAAGGATGAGAATCGGCCCTCATGTGGAGACACGCACATTCCTTCTGACGTGTTTGGGAAAAGCTCGGATCTTCATCGGTCTTGATTGGTTGACAGAACACAACCCCGAGATGGACTGGCAGGAACAGACAATGAGATTCAGTTGGTGCCCAGAGCAGTGTCACATGAGGGGTCACAAGGAACATCAAGCAATGATCGACATGGATGCAATCGACCTGGACACAGACACGCCGGATCTGGAAGAGGGGAAATCGATCCTGTTGGTCGACTTTGGGAAGGAAGTGGATCTACGGCTGAAGGAAACGCCGGCACAGAAATTTGCAGAAGAAGCGGAAAAGGAGAAGGAGAGAATGACCGAGGGAAAGATTCCGGATCAATACTGGGAATTTGTCAAAGTATTTGCCAAGGAATTGTTTGACTCGCTACCAGACCGACGGGCATGGGATCATGCAATCGAGCTCAAACCCGGTTCCAAAGCAGTGGACTGCAAGGTGTACCTGTTATCACGAAACAAACAGGTCAAACTTGACGAGTTCTTACAAGCGGGTCAGACCATCAAAATCACCCATGGCATCAGCATTCTTCTTTGTCAAGAAGAAGGATGGCTCGCTACGCCCCGTGCAAGATTATCGGAAGCTGAATGAAATGACAATCCGAAATCGATACCCGCTGCCGCTGATCTCCGAACTGGTCCATAATCTATGTGGCGCAAAGTTCTTCACCAAGCTCGACATCCGGTGGGGATATAACAATGTATGGATCAAAGAGGGCGACGAGTGGAAGGCTGCGTTCCGCACAAACCGCGGGCTGTACGAGCCCTTAGTTATGTTCTTTGGTCTCACGAATTCCCCGGCAACGTTCCAAAACATGATGAATGACATACTCCAAGAACTGATCAACAAGGGTCACGTGGTAGTTTATCTTGATGATATATTGATCTTCACAGAGAACTTGGACAAACATCGATGGATCACAAAACGAGTACTCGAATTGCTCCAAAAACACAAGTTGTACCTGAAACCCGAAAAGTGCGAGTTCAAACGCATGGAAATCGAATATTTGGGTGTAATTATTGGACACAATTCGATGAGGATGGACCCAGTCAAGATCAAGGGCGTGATGGAATGGCCAGAACCAAAGAGCGTCAAACAAGTTCAAGCGTTTCTAGGGTTCACCAACTTCTATCGGCGCTTTGTCCAGGGATATGCAGAGGTTGCCAAGCCATTGACACGACTGACAGGGGAGGCAGGATGGTCATGGGGTACGGAGGAGCATGCGGCATTTGATGGATTGAGAAGGAGAATTGCGGAGGATGCGGTCTTAGCACTGCCAAATGACACCGGCCAATATTGTCTGGAAGCCAATGCTTTGGAAGGGGCAACAGGATCAGTTTTGAGTCAAAACCAAGATGGCATTTGGTGCCCAATCACATTTATTTCGCATGCATTGACCGAAACCGAGCGAAATTATGAGATCTACGACAAGGAAATGCTTGCAATCATGCTATCACTGGACAAATGGAGACAGTTACTACTGGGAGCCACAGAAACATTTGAGATCTTCACCGATCATCAGAATCTTGAGTACTTCCGGAAGCCGCAGAAACTCAATCGACGGCAAGCACAATGGATCACGGTGAAATGCTGAGGGCGCGCTCACAAGTGAATCTACTATGAAAGTAAACCCAAATATAAACATGTTCACACTGCTCGTAATCAGCTTCTCAGTGTGTGAAAGATGCGAGGGCTTCGAGGTGGACAGAGCACCAGTATCACAACTCTCAATAGACGCAGATCCAATAGTCGCGGAAGACGAAGTTGACGACAAGAATATATATATAGCAAAACAATGGTGTCTCAACCAATATCTTCTATACGAACACAACCAACACTAATCCAACCACAACCAACAATATAACAAGTCAGAGCTTAATACGGAGTATTAAGATCCCTTGTAGCGACAGCGTCCCGATG